ATTACGACAAAGTCAAGCTTGGTTCCTTCGTTGCTAAATCACATTCTCAACTGTCCTGTGTTTGGCAACTTTTCATCCTTGTGAAGATACTCCTCAAAGATCTGGAGATGTCTCCTGAAGATCATGGGGCAGGACTGAGGTATGACTGGACTTGTGTGTGTGTGTGTGTTTGTGTGTGTTCTGCCTAAGATGGAAATAAGAAATGCGAGGATTGTTTTGCTAAATTACAAGTGTTCACCTCATGTGGATCATTTTGGTTTTCTCCATTTAATTTCTGAGATAAACGCCTCAGATGTCTTGTTTCAAAACAATGGATGCCAATGGAATTTGTTCAGGAACAATTTTCCTTTCACCGGCGGTTATTCTAAGATTTTGTTCTAAAATGGATAATGTTGAGGTAGAAAATAGAGCCTGGACGATTACATGTTTAATATATTTTTTTTAAGGTTTGGTCTTGGAGGGAAAACTGGTCGCTGAGTTGGATATTGCGCAATTTAAGCTGGAATGAAAATAACGGATGGTGCACCAACGTTGCAACTGCATGACCATGCAAACAGAAGGATGCTCTCTAAAACAAATGACTATGTTAAGGAATATTTAACATTTGAATACACCGTAAACTAAAAGCAGTTCAGTCTATCGACTCAGCTTTGATGCTCTGCTACCCGGCTGCAGATGGTGCTTAAAGTCATGCAAACTGTGGAGTTAAAGCACTAAACTGAACAAACAATTAGGGCCCGACTGATATGGATTTTTGGGGCCGATACCAATATTAGGGAGGGAAAAAAATCCAATACCGATATATCAGCCGATATCTTTCTTAGATCTATATTTAATCTGTAGAGCTAGATATAAATGTATACATTTATTGTGTTGATCCCTTAACAGTTGTGGAAAAGATTTATAATGAAGACAAGATGGTCACTCAACTGGAGAGTGATGATGCTTGTTCTCATCCATATAGCGCCCTCTGCTGGTGAAAGTGAACTGCTAGTGTAATACAATGAAACTAAAATGAAATACTATTTGACTGCTGAATAAATCGAGTAATATCAGCACATATCTGTGATAAAATTAGCCGATACCGATAGTCAGTGGATATGCTAATATCGGCTGGCCGATAAATCGGTCAGCTTCTTCAAACAATACATGAAAACATTTCTAAATAGCAATGGGAAAACATGTGCTTTTATATCTCTTCAAGGGCAATAATGGATGATGAAATTGGCCAGCTAATATAGGTTTTGGGCGATGTTGCAAAATTAGTTGTTCTGGTGCCTTTTGTGATTGATTTGGTTGAACTTGACTTTAAGCATTTGATGGTGGCTTGATCAGCTCTCACATCGTGGGACTGAAATCTTGTTCTTCGGTGTGTTTGGATTATGACATTAAATCCATCTTCTCATATCACACTTTGGCACATTCAACAAGATGGCAGAGATCTACTTGGAAAGCTGTGGAGATCATTGCGTCATCACTCCCCATCTGTCCATAACATCCGTGTCTTATGTTACTCATAGCTTTCGGGGTCGTGTCTTGGGCCAACACATGCAGGCGGGCATTCGACTTTCTCACTCCATTAAATGCCAGCTTACAGAATATACGTCTGTACTCAGAACATAAACAGGTATTAGTGTCCTCAGAGTCGGGGTTTCTGTTGTGCTTACCAGAACAGACGGGGGGGGGTAAACATATTGACAACCTCGTCCCCCCCCACTTTGACAAGTGAAGAGCTGGGATGTTTTTGCCACCATTCCTCGCATTGTTTGTCTGGTTCTATTTTTAAAGCATCATCACTGGGCTTGTTAGGGGCTCAGACGTGCCGCTCCCTGTGTTGTTTCAGAGATTACCGGTTGGGTAAAAAGTGATATCTGCCCGACAGCTGCTCATGTCCCCTGACTTCGCCTCCGCTGATGTTGTTGTTGTCATTTTCTCCGTTGAATGTTGCACATTTTTCTGTGGTGAAACTTCTTGGCTGGTTGATTGGTCCACTGTTGGAAGGCGGTGGTCTGCAAGGATCCAGAGAGATGAAACCGGACACGTTAGCTTCTTAGCATACTAAGGGTTCGATGAGCTCAAACAGCATGTGACTGCCTTGAGGGCTGAAAGTCTTGATTTACAACCCGTGTGTGTTGCGATGACAGTTATTCTTGTCAAGTTGTGCAAATGCTTCTGGATTATATCGAAGCCAGAATCTATGGAGATGTGCTTCACTGAAAACATCAAGCAGTCAGAGACAATTTGAACCCCAATGGATTCCGATTATTTAAATCCATCTGTCTGCTACAGGATACTTCTTCTGTGTTTTGGGTTTTCTTTTGAGTAGAATATATGTTTCTGGTTTCCAGATGGCGCCTCTTTGACCTTAAATTAAAGCCCATTATATCTGGCATCAAGCAGTAACATCAGTGTTTTTCACTTCCCCCTAATTCTGTCCTAAGGTGCTGAAATTGGCTCGTTCCAATGTGCTGGGGCTTGTTCTTTTTCTTGAAAGTTTGCTCCCAGTGCTTTCTGTTCGGAAGCTTTTATCTGCCAGGATTACATTAGACTTTTTTCCCTATAAGTAAAAGTCTACTTTACCACTTTACCTTATTGTTTTAACTAGGACCGAAACCATCAACAGGTTAATCGCGATGCAATGAAGGTCAAATGAATGCATGATTTTTTTTTAAATCACATGCTATTTTGTCCCTTCAGGCCCACCGTAGATAAGCCGCCACAGTGTCAACCTGTATGTAGCCACAACATTAACCAGCACTAGGATGAGGTGCTGCTTTTAACATTGTATAACTGAGGTCAGACTGAGGTCTGCTTGGAGTGTCATGCACAGCAGTAGCGTTGTGAACATCTTCATAAGCAGGCGGCACACAGAATCTGCTTGCACAGCGGTCAAGGCCACGTGGAGACTTTTCTTTTAGGATGGTCATGAAAAACGAGAAGCTGGAGAGTTCTCGTTTTCCATAAATCAAGGTCAGGTCATATACTAGACCAGTGTTTCTCAACTCCAGGAACCCAAACTGCACAGTTTTTCATTGAACAAATGTGATTGGTTGAAATATATCTGAAATTCACGTCGCTATTTCTCATGAAGGAGTTGGAGGTGGGTCCTGAGGCTGGACCAGTTGAGAACCACTGTCCTGCTGGTAGCGCAGTGGTTAGTGCACAAGCCCCATGTTTGGAGGCTATAATCCTCAAAGCGGGCAGCACAGGTTCAAGTCCGACCTGTGGCTCCTTTCCCGCAAGTCATTCCCTGATTTCCGACTCTATCCACTGTCCCATCACTCCAAAGGCACCAAAAAGATCCCCCCCCCCCCCCCCAAAAAAAGAGAAAAACGTGCAAACAACAGGTTTCTTTTCCTCTCCGAAAGTTGATATGTTGTTCATTTTGTTCATATTGTGACGTAATGCTGATAAAGTCATGGGATATACGGTCGGTTGTCTGCATACTGTGTTTGATCAGATGCTATCCCTTGTCTCACTTTCTGTCCGGGTTGTTCAGCTTGACGTGCACGTGCAGTGGTCTACGTGGAAAATGGATGTGGCATGTGTTCAGAACCTAGCAGAGCGAAGTGGCGCTCCGGCTGGCAAATAGAAATTTTACTGCAAAACGGAGAAGTGGATGTAATTTTTAATATTCTTTTCTACTAATGAACATGGCCCACTTGTACCCAGTGAACCCTGGCACTTCCAAGTAAAAGAGTTTGTGTCCATGTTGGCTGGTAAACAAACTGTAATGAACCCTCCCCCACGCTCCGGGTGATCTGTGATGAGATGAAACTTGACAGTCCCGAATCCACGAAGCCTGACATGACTATCCAGGAAAATGTCTGTCTTTCTTGGAAGGGAGAGTTGCTTATCTGTCCGCCACTTACTGCTTTAATGGCTTCACAGTATTGCTGTCACATGTTCCAGCCATCATGTTTCACTGGAAGTCGGAGTCCTGCTGTGGGCATGTGCCTGGAAGTCGAGAGGGGAGCAGCGGGTTGACCTTTCCTCTAAGGGTTATGTGAGACAAGGCTGGGTGTTTGGGTAGGTGGGAGTATATGAGATACTGTAATTTCTCGTGAACACTCATGCTTGTTCCTTGAAGTCAAGCAGATACAGGAGGGGGTCATGGGGGGAGAAAGCGCAATATAATGGTATTTTTTAAATGATATTGAGAGCCAGTTTTTTTTATCTCACTATATTTTGCTACATGTTTTGGGTTAGGGTTAGCCTTCACATAGCTTCCACATTTCCTGGTTGTTTCCCAAAGTTAACTCTGTACCACTTAAAGGAAGAATGTGCGACATGTTACACATAAATATATCAGAAATCCAGTCTGTCCTGTGCAAATGTGTCTCTGAGTCATGACTGTCTACAATGAGGGAGAAGCTCGAGTCCCGCTGGCTGTGTTGTTGTCAGAGCCGTGTTTACATGGACGGGACGGCCGGCTCCTCCCCTTGTGTATAAAAGCTGTTTTAGTCAAGAACTAGAGAGAAGAAGAAGAACATACTCACTGATTATTTGGAGGTTACGTAATCTTTTTTAGATCCCCGTCAATTAACATGCAATGTGAAGCTACAAGCTAACTAAAGAGCGCTACAATTAGCATGCTAACACAACAATGCAGGCCACAGGCAATTGCAGCTTGAACCAAGGACAATTCTGTCCGGCGCTTGGGCTTAACTCCTTCATGCGAACGTGAGTAGAGGGGGGTTGGAGGTGTGTCTCTGGTGGAGAGCGGAGGCTTCAGTATGGAGGAGGTGTGGCCAAACAGCAGTTTGTTTTGGTTTCTAAACTAAACCAAAATGCAGCACCTTCGACCGTCGTCGTGTTGAAGAAACTCTGTCAACTCCAGCTGCTGCTGCGGGAATGTTTTACTTGAATGTTTCTGTCATTGTTAAAAACAAATCTCTTCCATCAGACACTGATACACCCAGTTATCCCCTGTGAGTGGCAGAATACACACAATTATCCTAAACATGGCTAACGCTGCCTCTGCATGTCTTTTCTTGTAGCTGGGAGATCATCGACTCCGGCCAGGACAGCCAGTCTGGGACTGGACCTCAGCTCAGCGACGCCCTCAAACTTTTCCTGCAGGAAACATCGGCTTTCAAGCAGCAAAACCCCGGCAAGGTGAGGCAGAGGATGAAAACTCCCCAAGATTAACCTCAACTGCTCACTTATTTAATGCAAGAAAAAGCTAAGAGTCACATGGTTTCTGGACGCATTTTGCCCAATCAGATACAAAAAGGGAGGTAGAAGGAATTATGAGCACGTCCCTGTTTTCAAAGTTGAACAAATTGAATCATTCAGTGCTGTAATTGAATCATTCAGTGCTGTAACTGAATCGTGATTTGATTTAAGATTAACTGTCAAACGTTTACCTACAGGAGAAAAAAGGTGGTGCCTAAGTGTAGTTGGCATGCACTGAGCAGACGGAAACATTTGCAGCATCTTAAAGGAATAGCTCAGCATGTAAAGAAAGTCTGTACTTGCTTGAGTAGGTTGGTACATGTCCCATGTTTAAAGGTAGAGTCAGTAGAAAAGTTTGTTGCAGCTTGTGATCACAACATTCAAACTGGGCCTCTCCTCCTGTGCTAAGCACTACCAGAAGCGCACACTAGAGGGCGTAGTGAACATGAACATGAAAATCCAGTCACAGGACAGGGTCTCTTTGATTGGATCTTTGAATCAAGAGTGTAACCTGCGCTGACTTTAAACTGAGTAGAAAAGTCCTTTTCTTATGTTTCATTCTCTTTATTTTCTCTTTGTTCCAGTTTTGTCTGCTGGTTTGCAGTTTCTGCACCTTTTTCGCCGTCTTAGGACGCTACATTCCAGGGATTGTTATCTCATATATTCTAGGTGAGTAAAGAAAAAAAATTCATTTCTGTCGTGCTGAAAAAACTAGATCATCACTCAAAGGGAGGCTGCAGGTTGGTATTACTGGTTTTGGTTAAATTGACCTTAAGCTAAGACATGTTTCTGCCAACACTGAAATTCTGACCTTCTCTGTTTGGTAGGACAAATTTACAAATATAAAAAGTAGAATAAACTTTTGGCCTTAAAAACACGATAATACATATGAACCGGTCAGTCAGAACAGGGGGGTCTCCTGAGGTAAGACGTAACGTTAAAACTTTGTGGAAATAGCGGACGAAGCAACAGAGTCCGCTATACAACACTATAATGAGAATATTTGCCTTTATATCAATGCTACGTGTAGTTCAACTGAATCACACTATCAACAAAAGAGCGGAGGGTGAATTCCCTGCTGCCTTCTCACGTCAGCTCACTCGGACTTACTGCAGAAAAAATAATAGAATAGAAGAGAATAATAGAATAGAATAATAGAATAGGGCTTCACCCAGGAGAAACTCCGGGGTGAAGTCCGAGTGAAAGATTCTGCTGTTTGTGTTCACACATGCAGCTCCTCCAGGAAATATCAGGAGTTTTTCAGGAGTTTTCATAAAGTGTGAAAGCCCTATATGTGAGGTATATGACAAATATCAGTGTGTCATCAGCGTAACAGTTGATCACTTTGATGAGAGATATTTAAAAAACCCTCTGAGCTGATCAGTGAAGCATTGTACACAATGAATTTTAATGCAATAGTTTCTAAAATTGCACAGTGAGCAAACCTGATCCTACAAAGAGAAAGAAACACACAGTGATGTTTAAGTGTATGTTAATGGCTTCTTAACACTAGAACGACCAGCATTCTATCACTACTAGAAAGGCCATAGCGCTCATTTTGACTGTTTACGAATTATTTGCATATCATTTCAATAATCAGTATCAAATATAAGAATAAATGGATCTGTGATGTTGTGAAAGGTAATAAACTTCAGGACACAAACATTAAATTCTAATGAATTTGAAATTTGAATAGTTTATCGACAACCACAGGAACAGCAGCCGGTGTTTTTTTTTGCGAATGGGAATGTGTCACTGATCGGGAAAACCAAGAGGAGGACCCAGATGCAGAATCAACAAAAATATTTAATCAAACAAAAATCCAAACAGGAGAAAACAAGGAGCCACGGGTAAACCGACACCGACAGCTGACACCGACAACAACATACAACATACAACATACAACATACACTGGTAACCAAACACAGGTGAGGACAATCAGGGCAATCACACTGGGAAACACACAGAGGCAGGAGTACAAGAAACACTGAGGACAAACTAAATCATGAAACACTAAAGACACACAGAACTCAAGAATCTAACAAAACACACTAGAACACAGAGATACACGAGGATATGAAGTTACAAAAATAACACATGAAACACTAACCTAGAAAACACACAAGGGAAACAACACCATCAGACAAGAATGAGAACTAAAAACAACAAGAAAACTCTGAAAATAAGAAACCAAATCATGACAGGAATGATCTCTGTATCATTCTCAGGTTTAATCTCAGAGCCAGAGTCAGATGAAGAGAGACCAGGAGACATCACTTTCTGTATCTGAACCTGCACCTCCATCAGACTCTGCCTCATCAAGGCTCTGGAGCCTCTGTGGCAGCAATCCTCCTCCTTCCTGACATTTCATTCTATTCTATTCTAAATCAGATCCTAATTTACTCTATTCTGCCTTTTCAATGTTGATCAATTCAAATGTGTGTCTCCTATTCTTTCTATATGGTTTTAGGCGGGTAAGCTTTCTTTCCTCCTTGGCTTGAGCGTTATAAACAATAGTTGCTAGGCAACAGCGATGTGCACCTTCAAGTAGTGGTGGGCGATATAACGATCTTAGATCATGAAGGATTTTAAAGTGCCAAAGCAGGGAGATCGTAGAACCGAGCTAATGTGTTTATTCTATCATGCTGCAGTTTATTCTCTTACACAGACGTGTCTCCTCCTTTTTTGCTCCGCAGCGGTGAAAACAAAACTTAAAAGTAAAGTCCGCAAAAACAACTCCATCTCGGTTATATGCAACTGTTCTGATATGTTTCCAAACCGACACGCTGTGAGCAACAGTTAACTTCTCTGCATAGTGTGCACAGTTAAGTTTACATCTCGGAGAGCGAAACCGTTTAAGGAGCCGGAGAGACGTTAACAGTCTGCAGAGAGTCAGACAGAGAGGAGCTCAGACAGACAGTGAGGGGAGATATAACCCCGGTGTTTCAAATGTTGCTGTCGGTGTTTTCTGCTCTCTCTCAGTTTTTAAAAGTTACTTATCAAGCCTCTCCACCTGAAGCTCACCTGTTGTGATAACTGAATTTATAGGGATTACACTAAACGACGTTACAAAGCAGCAGGCAGGTGAGAGTGAGTAACCATGGTGACTGTCTGTCTGTCAATCAACAATGTCCCGCCCCCTCTATGAATTAAAACTCTTCTGTCAGTAAAACTTACTTTGATCATGTGTCACAGAATGAACACATTCTGTATTATGTTTGATTATATATAAACTAAACTAAAGTTAGTCCAATGATGTCATAAAAAACAACAAAGTCTGCAGAGCCTGTATGAAGCTCCAGCTGGAGGAACTCTGCAGGGCTAAAACAGAACAGAAACTTCAACAGCTTCAAGTCTACATGTTTTTAAATGAATGCATCACTGCGTGAAAATGTTCCTGATGAACATAAAAAGAGGACACATAACTAAATCATCATTTCAAAGTGGTGAGGAAAACCTTCAAATTGTTCATAAATATTGATCAAATTGAGGGAAAGACATTTCTGTTGCTAAAGATGTTCTGGGTGAGAGACCTCCAGACCTCCTACAAAGATGTTTTTCAAATAGATTAAACTTGTCTGCACAGTTTCTGTGCATTTAAAAACATTATACAGGGAAATAAGTTTGGTTGAACTGGTCAGTAACTTACAAATTAGTCTAAAGAACAATATGAAAAAAATTGTGATCGTGATTTTGCCCCAAAAAAAATCGTGATATGATATTTTTCCCATATCGCCCACCTCTACCTTCAAGAGCGGGAAAAAGTAGCGAATACTGAAATGATAAACTGGCTATAATGCATGCAGTCAATATGCCCGCTATGGACTTTCAAGGTAGAAATACTCAAAACTCTTTTGTGTTTTGTGTTTTTGATAAAATTACAATGCTATAATAAAATATAGACACATTTAGGAAAAGTCATGGTCCTGTAGTTACATAGGTTTTATTTTAAGTAAGTTATTACATTGCAAAATTAAAAAACAGTCAAAATGACTGCCTCGGTCTTTCTAGTGTTAAACTGGTTTATAATGTTTTATTTTTCCTTCTTTGTGTCCCTCTTGGCTTCTCTCTGCAGTGCTGGGTGTTTTCCTGTGGCCTCTGATTTCATTTTCATGACGTCGGTTTGTGGCTGGAGCCAGTTCTGCAGAAGCTGGACTTTGGCATCGGGGAGTTTCTTCAGAAAATTAAAGAAAACCATGGTAAGTAATGGTAAACTAATCAGTGTGGACTATGTCTGCATCATCAGGGCTTCAGCTCATACAGTTTACATCAGATGAAACAGTAATGTCCTGTACTGCAAACCTTATTTTTCTAAATAAAATGAGAATGCAAAATACTTTCATATAAGAGCCACAATAGACTGCAAATAGAAGCTCTTTTACTTGCTGAAAAAGATAGGCTCTGATTGTAGTGTTCATCAGATTTAATCCCTGATAATAGGATTATTCCTGATGAAGTTAGCTGGATTTAGAGAGTACTTTACTTGCTATGTGCTTTTATTTTGAAATACAGTAAGGCCCTTCCTGTAGATGGAAGGTTAGGACATGAAGTTAAGCCCAGAAACAGGAAGTGGTTAGGGATCCCAAACTGAGGTCAAACATCTCAAAGGAATGGTACCAAAGGTCAACGTGTGATGTCATGAGGTCAATGTGTGATGTCATGAGGTCAATGTGTGATGTCATGAGGTCAGTGTGTGATGTCATAAGGTCAATGTGTGATGTCATAAGGTCAGTGTGTGATGTCATAAGGTGGATATTACTGTCTGAGAGTTTGTTAAAGTGAAATGAGACATTCAAAGATGCAGCAGTGTCCTTCTTTTACATCACTGAGACTACAGGGAGACACTGAGGACCACTATCTACGGAGAGCCTGAAGGGACAAAACAACATGAGATTAATCACGATTTTAAAAAAAATAATGCAGGAATTTCAGTTTTTTTGTGCATATGATGAAAGTTCAATACTCACACATACACTATACTGTTTTTACTTCTGCCCTTCAAAGACATTAAGCTTCCTTCTCGCATTTCACAATCCATGTGATTAAAGAAACTGAATCAGCTGCGTTCATGTTTTCTTCCTTCAGAGAGAAGAATCCTGCAGACTCAGGCTGACAGAGAGGGCATCGAATCCGATCTCTCCTCCATGTTTCCCAAGGTTTGTTGATCATGATCGCATGTCGATATAATTACGCCTCTGCTGGTGGACAATATGGCTTCAGTTGAGGATGATTGAAATTGAGAACACATGATCCACATCAGAATCGAATCCTGTGCAAAAGATGTAAAAAAAGATGTTCCTGCACTGCACTCTAAAAGCTGACGTCTCTATGGGGGTTTTCTCCCGCAGCTCGACTCCACAGTGTGTAAGGAGATGTCTGTATCGGACACAGAGGTGTCTGACATGACGTGGACGGACAACGGTACCTTCAACCTGTCGGAGGGACACACGCCACAGACTGAGAACTCAGAGGGTACGTTCATTAACTCCACAACATCCTTTAGACCCCTTTAGAGTTTGAAATAAAGACGTTTGATTTCTAGAATGCAGCTTAGAGTTGACCTGTTCTGCTGACTTTTAAACTTATCTTTACTTATCTTAAAGTTAATACTTATCTCCCTTGTCCTCAGACCTCGACAGAGAAGAAGCCTTCACCGGCGGCCTTCCAGAATTCCCCTCACTTGACAACGGCGCAACAACAAACGGCGAGGACGACGACGACCTCAGCATCGGCCTTCCCTTGCCTCCACATCAGCCCCAGAAGCCAACCAAATCCACGCACACACCCGATCCTCGCAGAGACCAACCTGTAGACGCCCTCGAATTAGTCAACCAGATGGCGGGCGACGCCATCGCCGCTGCCGTCACAGCTGCCATTCAGGAGAGAATAGAAGCGGCGGTCGGCTTCACGGCTTTCAGTGACTTTGGGCGGTCGGGACTCCCAGATTCGACCAGGCTGCTGGAGCTGGCTGAAGAGTCGGACAGCGAGGTGGAGGACTTTGAGCTGCTGGACCAGTCGGAGCTGGAGCAACTGGAGGGGGAGCTGGGGCTGGGGGAGGTGAAGACCCGGGCCAAAGAGGAGGCGGGGGACAGGAGTGACAAGCCGACGTCTTCTGGATTCTTCTCCAAACTCCTGAGACGCCAATGATGAATCCTATGAAAAGTCAGCAGAGGAGGAAGAAGAATTACGGAGGACATGTGGTGGGGAGGCGGGGCGAGGGGGGGGGGGGGGGGCTGTTGGGGGTTGTGAGAAAACACTTTCCATTCATCCTTTTTTCTGTAGAGCTAACATCGACATTTTCGGACTGATGAGATTGTCAGATATGCAGGTGGAAATGTCCTTTAAACCACGATCATCGTAGCTGAATGCCGAGGTCAGAACGCACAGATATCAATCGTGTAGTAGCCTGATCCAGACGATGAAGTAAAATAACAACCGGCTCCCATCCATTGCTTTTTAAATCCTTTGTAGTGAGTTAGAAGTAACTGATGCATCTTCATCCAAACCAAAAGATGTTCGCATTATTTCTCCCCTCGCCTACTTTGTTAGCATCGAGCTGATGACAACTTCTTTTTCCTGAGCAATCTAAACGCAACACTGACTTATTATTTATGAATCCGTTTTTTTCTCAAGACCATTGAGGTCCTTGTTTTGCCACCGCTATTGATTTTGCTCAGCGGCCTTCTTTGGTAAGCCTGCTAGAAGATGTTGACTCTTGAATTAATTTACCAGGCAGGTTGGGAATTGATAATAAGATAACTGACATCTAAGGCTCCGTGTCCATCTAGCCTTTTTTTATCTAAGCGCCAGCGACTTTTTCCGAGAGAGCGTTTGCAGCAGCAGGCGGCTGCACAGGGAGAGAAAGCGAAGGGCCAGCGTTGTTTTTCTGAGCACTTCTTCTTTCTGTGCGCCCACTGCCGAGCACTTTGTGTTGAAAATCTTTCAACATTTTAGAAAGGCGCTGTTCAAGTCATCGGCGACGTGCAGCGCTTTTCTTCTCAGCGAACAAATGCTTCACGCAAACGCTCCCGAGCGCACAGCCAGCGCTACTGTAGATGGGCGTGGGATCTGACAAGTTGGTTAAAGGTGTGTTTAAAAACCTGAAATGAGGCATGTCTGGACAGAAGATGACAAGATATCCTCCTATTTTCTGATATTTTATTTTAACCTAAAGGGGAATTTGGATATTTTAAACCTAGGCCCCACTTTTATTTATTTTGATCTCTAAATCAGTCAAAGGTACAAAAAGTTCAGGAATGTGTGAAAGCACCCTAAGTATTCCTATATTCAGATAATGAACGATTGCCTATCTGTTTACACTCCTAAAAATATCCTTATATCTGTTCAGGACAGAGTTCACTAAAGGCAAAATCAAAACTTACAAAAACTGCCTAAAAGCGGACTCAAATAATGTGATACATAAAAAATCTCATGAACCTCCAAATAGATATGGATCCCACATCAACTTCTGAGTAAGACAAAGAGTAAATTGAATGTGAAATTTGAAAAACTTGCATGAAAAAGATTCAGTCATTTTCAGTCATTTGGTGAAAAAAAAACACAAAACTGTACTGCAAACACAAAAGCAACTACAGTGAAAATACATGTAACAGTGACGTGATATTTTGGGTAGACGGGTGTAATACTTTTGGTCATCTATGTTTTTAATGAATGACGGAATTTAGTTTCAACATCTCTGGACAGCTCACTCAAAATGTAAGCGCACTGCATTTTTTATTTATTTTATTAAACTACGTTACCCACAATTCCACACACATTAAATTGAGTGACAATCAAAATGCATTCAAATTCCACTAAAGCTTGGATTGATTTCTTTCAGGATTTCAAGAATTTAACTTTTTTTATTTTCTTCCTTTTTATAATTTTATATGTTTTTTTTCTTTCATGAAACATTGATATGTCCAGTTTTTTTTAATTAACAAACTGCCGGTCTCTAAACGCTATGCATGGAAATCTAACTTTGACACGTTAACATATATAACCATTACCATGTTTATCTCAGAGTGCGTTCAGCCAATCATCCATCGAGTCATTAGTGTGCTTCAGAAAAAAACAAACATTTGGATCATCCCCTAAATAGTCACATTTTTTTATATTATTATGGTCATTATTATAGTCATCAGGAACCCTGCCAATTTCCACATCCCCTGTGAGCGCCGCGGTCAATAAGCCACTCTAGTCAATGCTCCTGTTTCCACAGCGAGTGCCGCGGTCCGTCTTCAGAGCGTGCCAGCAGCGCCACTACGCTTTGCTCCGTTTCAAAAATGCTGCCAGTCTAATTTTGGCGGAGCTCGCTGCAGGCACGCGTCAAGCTGGACAGAACAGAACAACCCGGACAGGAAGTCTTTTTTTTTTTTCTTTTTTAAAATCGGTTGAAACTGTCCTCACGTCTGATGTCTAACACATTTTTTAAATATGACAAGATATGAAAGTTGCCTAGTGTGCAGCCAGCCTTAGCACAGTAAGTTAAAGTTTGCTGCATTCAGTGGATTCAGTTTTTTCCAGGAAAATATCGCAAGAAAACAAAACAAAAATCCCACCCTCCTTTTTAAATACGAATCAGTCGAGACCAGCAGAAAGGGAACTGGTTTAGACAGGATAAAGATCTGATCACACCCATGTCACTGGTCAAGTCTCGTCTAGAAGTGAACCCACTAAGATCATTGCTCGTCACATCATGGGATGACCAAAGTAAGACTTCAAGACAGATTAAGTTGGAGTGCACTGAAAGTGAAATACGAGGTGGCGTTCGTCCATTTGCACCTTAAATACAATTTAAATATACTCCCATAGAGGAAGTCATGGGTCAGAGACTGACGATAGAAACGACTAAACTGTTCTTTGACTTCTCACCGTTTTTAAAATAAAGACACTGCAATGTATCATCTCTTGAATGACTCATATGATGCCTTCTGTTAACTCTGAAGATAATAAATGTATCACTTGTTCATCAGTGCCTCGAATGACTCTTTCTAACGCACATGTACAAAAAACATAGAAAGGTTCAGAACTCACTGAAAAGAGGTATGAAATATTTAAATGCTTTTCATTTACCTTCTGGGTGTATCGTGATGGCTTCCGTGTGCTTCCTACACGTGAAAAAACTGTATCAACAAAATGTACTTATATGTGATTTAACTCCAGACTGTCAATAAAATGTCGTAACGCAGCCTGCTGTTTGATTTGACCTCAGCCCTCTTTGTGTGTTGTTTTTCTGTACACAATGTCTCGGCTTTATTTGTCTTTTTCATATCAAATTATGAGACAAATAAAGGGCGGCTGTGGCTCAGAGGGTAGAGTCGGTCATTTCTCAACCGGAAGGTCGGGGGTTTGATCCCCAGCTCCTGCAGCCACATGTCCGATGTATATTTGGGCGAGACACTTAACCCCATGTTGCTCCCACTGCTTTGTTGATGGCATATGAATGGGGTTAATTATTTCAATTTTACATACTTTATGAATTCCTGAGGGAAATTCTGGTTTACACTATGTTATGGAGAGACATTTTCCCTTCATGACATCACAAAGGGCAGTAACCCCTCCCCCAGGTGGGTGACACTCCCACAGCTAGGTGTTTGTTCTGCCCTCTGAGTCTGCCTTCTCACAGTAAACAATAGGGCATGGAGCGAGAAAGCCAGTAGCACCAGAGCTCTTCCAGAGAGGGGGCGTGGTCGGACACAGCTCATTTACATTTAAAGCTAAAACAAATTTCAAGAACAGCCTATTTTCACCTTCGAAATATATCCGAAATCAGGCATATCCTTTCACAAAACAATGCAGGAAAACTGGTTGATGCATTTGTTACCTCCATTTTGGATTACTGTAATTCTCTTTTATCAGGCTCTTAAGTCTCTATAGATTCTTCAACTAGTCCAAAATGCTGCAGCTCGTGTACTGCCTAGGAAAAGGGACCACTTTTTTCCTGTATTGGCTTCTCTGCACTTAAAATCCTTCTTCGCATTTAGAAAGCTCTTAATGGTCAGGCACCATCTTATCTTAAAGAGCTAATAGTGCAGAATTACCCCAAAACATTATGCTTCCAGAATCCCTTCAGGCCTGCTCGTGGTACCTACAGTCTCTAAATGTACTATGGGAGGTAGAGCCTTCAGTTATCAGACCTGCTCATGGTACAGTCTCTAAATGTACTATGGGAGGTAGAGCCTTCAGTTATCAGGCCTGCTCGTGGTACCTACAGTCTCTAAATGTACTATGGGAGGTAGAGCCTTCAGTTATCAGGCCTGCTCGTGGTACCTACAGTCTCCAAATGTACTATGGGAGGTAGAGCCTTCAGTTATCAGGCCTGCTCGTGGTACCTACAGTCTCTAAATGTACTATGGGAGGTAGAGCCTTCAGTTATCAGGCCCGCTCGTGGTACCTACAGTCTCCAAATGTACTATGGGAGGTAGAGCCTTCAGTTATCAGGCCCGCTCGTGGTACCTACAGTCTCTAAATGTACTATGGGAGGTAGAGCCTTCAGTTATCAGGCCTGCTCGTGGTACCTACAGTTTTCTACATGTACTATGGGAGGTAGAGCCTTCAGTTATCAGGCCTGCTCGTGTTACCTACAAAGGTTACACTCTCTGTGGTGAGTTGACTCCTTAAGAGCTCCGTTAAAAAACGATGAAATAAGTCAGTTTTTCTTAGTAAAAGTAAGTTTAATTAATGTGCCATATTTCAGAGATCCTCTAAAATAATTATCAGGTTTAGCTATGAAGTGTTATTTTCCAAGTTTAGTTTACCTCTCACCAATTCAGGGAAATTTGATCATTTCTTGTAATTGCGGATGGGAGGGGTGAACGAAAGCTGTCATGAAAGATAAAACAGATAAAGAGGGTGGGAGGGTGGGTGGATTGATTGCATGAAGGTCCTTGTATAAATTGATGTTTTTGCGGACAGACTTCACCTTACTTCTTCTTTGGCTCTGACTGACCAGCTCTCCTCTCCCTGACCCAAGTATGGCCAACAATAATGGTAAGTATGTATTCAGTGTGTATTCATGATCTAGCTTACATCTGGACACTAATGTTTAAACTGCAGGACGATTTAAAGTAGGATATTAAAGGAATTTCAACAATACATTTATAACTAGTGTCATAGTCAAGACAACATTAAGCGAGACCAAGACACACCTGAGACCAGAGTGCTCCGAGGCCGAGACAAGACCAAGATATTTATGGATCGAGACAAGACCAAGATATTTAGGAATCGAGACAAGACCAAGACATTTAGGGATTGAGGCAAGACCAAGACATTTAGGGATCGAGACTGAGACAAGACCAAGACATTCAGGGATCGAGACTGAGACAAGACCAAGACATTCAGGGATCGAGACTGAGACAAGACCAAGACATTTAGGGATCGAGGCCGAGACAAAACCAAGACATTTAGGGATCGAGGCCGAGACAAAACCAAGACATTTAGGGATCATATATTCACAAGATTAAAGTTATTATTTTAGTCTACAGTTATATCAGAGGAGCAGCAGCCGTTTGTATGAAAATGAGGAATGTGAAGTTATCACATTCCTCATCTTGTAAGTTATACTTTAGTAAAGTTAATTCTCTGTGGAATCTAAATTAGTCGTGTTGGGGCTTTATTTGTGCAGATATGAAACTACACATGCTTTTGGCAAATCAGCATCACATTGTCATGAGTATCAGGACTCTGAAAAGATACTGCGAGAAACTCTTTTGTGGCTTTGCGGGTTCCCCTTCCATCATCTTCAAGCAGGCGGATGGCTGCTCTTCTGATCCGACCTTTCAGAACAATGATTTTAACCAGAGCCTCATTTAACATCCATTTACGAGTTTCAAACCGTAGAATAAGTAGTTTAATCTCAAGAATTTACGTCTTTAATCTCAAAATTTTAGAAAAAATAATTCTGTAACACGGCCCTAATACTCCACAGTAATTATCTGCTCACATGAACTAGTAGAAAAATTAAAACAAAATACTGAACCTATCAATCTAAAAGTTGTTTGGGGGAAGTTTTACCATCTTACAAATGCTTAGAGAGCTACAAAAACAGCAGAGAGATGCAGAAGATTATTATCACCTGAAGAAGAACCTCTGGTCCAAACTGTGTGATTGAATAAAAACTGTTCTGTTCTTTTGCCATCTCATCAGAACTGACCCGATACAATAATGAAGAGATCCGGATCGTGATGGTGGGCAAGACCAGAGCTGGGAAGAGCGCCACAGGAAACACCATCCTGGGAAAGGAAACATTTATATCAAGGTTCTCCTTTAAATCTGTGACCGAAGGCTGCGCTAAGGCGTATGGTGAGCTGGATGGACAGAAGGTTTCTGTCATCGACACTCCAGGTCTGTTTGACACTGATACTGATGAGGAGACGACACGTAAAAATATAATCCAGTGTATGGCTTATGCTTCTCCTGGACCCCATATCTTTCTGATTGTCATCAAACTGGACCGATTCACAGAAGAAGAAAAGAAGACGGTGGAGAAGATTCAGAAAATCTTTGGAGAGGAAGCAAACAAATACAGCATGGTTCTCTTTACCCATGGTGACCAGCTCAGAGGGAAACCTATCGAAGAGATCTTGACGGAAAGCGAAGACCTGCAGGAGCTTGTGACCAAATGTAACGGCCAGTACCACGTCTTTGATAACAACCTCTCTGATAGTTCTCAGACCAGAGAGCTGCTCAACAAGATCAGAAATATAACAGGGTGGAACAGAGGATACCATTACACCACTGAGATGTTTCAGAAGGTAGAGAGGGCGATTGAAGAGGAGATACAGAGAATCCTGAAAGAGAATGAGCAAATGCACAAAGAGACGGAGGAACTAATGAGGAAAATAGAGGAAAAGTCAGTACACATGATGAGAGAAGAAAGGCTAGATATGGAGAGGGCACGTCAATTATTGGCAGCTTTTATGAGAGAAATGGAAGAGGAAAAAAAAAGGCTGACGGAGGATCAAGAAAGAAGGGCTAGAATAGAGGCAGAGAAGAGACCTCAATTGCTCTCAGTGATTGCTTCTGTTATTGGAGATTTGCTGACAGTGGCTTTAGTGTTCTTTAGAGGTTGAAAAATAACTTCAGCTATTTGTATCCGACCTGATGTTCATTATAATGTCAGTGTTTAAAACTGATCTGTTGTTTCTTAAATTCCTATTATCCAGTAAGTTGCTACGACATTCCCTCTGTTGTATACCATCCCTTAACCGAGGTGGTGGTCTCCCATTGTTCTTTCTGTCTCATGTGCTGCCTTCCAGCATCAGAGGATACAAATCAACTTGTCCCTGCATACACAGTTAAACCTCGTAAGGATCCAGGTTACTCTGTAGGTGCTCTCTACCTCTGTTGTTTTCGCCGCACCTCTCTTTCACCGCACCCCTGTCCTGCAAAATCTCCACTGGCTCCCTGTCCCTTACCGTATACAATTCAAAATCCTTCTCCTCACACATAAAGCCCTTAACCACCAGGTCGCCTCCTACCTCACAGCTCTCCTTCACCCTCACACTCCTGCACGCAGCCTCCGTTCCTCAAAAGCCAACCTCCTATCTCCCCCTCTTAGAACCAAGCACCGAACCTGGGGGGACAGAACCTGGGGGGACAGAGCCTTCTCCATAGCTGCCCCCCCTCCCTCTGGAACTCACTCCCCACACACATTCAACACTGCACCGACCCTCCTACTTTCAAATCACTTATCAAAACTCACCTCTTTAAACAAGCTTTTAATGTATGATTGTGATGTATTTTCTGTAGTTTTACCTTTATTGTTGTTATGATTTGTGAGTAATGTTGCAATGTCTGTTAGTCTGTCCTTACTGTGCTGTTCTTTCTGTTTTTTAACAAATGTACAGTTTCTTTGAGTTTTGAAAAGCGCTTATAAATCAAATGTTTTATTATTATTATTATTTGTATTAAAGTTTTGGCGTCGTTAACCCTCGGCATTATCGTACGGACTAAATTGAGCCGCCGCGTCCCGTGTGAATTTCCTTTGAACTCCTGTGCAGAGACCAAACTTAACTTGATCCTGCCTTACTGTGTACACAATCATACCACGCCAGAAGGCCGTCTTTGTTCGGTGACCGCCATCCTACAAGTGAGGTGACCACACGTCCACACCATCATCTTGCCTTCTCTCTCTCTCACACACACACACACACACACACACACACACACACACACACACACACACACACACAACTACACACCTCATTCCATAGTGTTTGCTTTAGATTAGCTTGTAATAGCTGTTGTTGATTGAGTTTAATTGATTTTGATTGATGTGGCTTTGTTAATTAAACTGTTAGAATTGAAGAAAGCAGTTGTTGGTGATTACTTGTGTATATGCATTGTAATACAGCTGGGTGCGAGGGCTAATGTACAGATTCACGCCTTCTTCTTCAGTCATGACTCACAGAGTTATTTTCAGAGGAGATACTTGATTTATATTACATTTAAGGGTGAAAAATCACTAAAGCCTTTAAAGACTACACTTCATGTTGGTGTCACAAGATCACAGACTGTCATACCAACTTCATCATCGCTGAAAATGTCCTGGAAAAGTCCTGGAAAAGGATCTATGGAAAAGAGTGGGAACCCTGAAGTCAGTGTGACTGAGGTTATGTACGGTCACAGATAAACAGCATAAGTAAGCGCAATATTTTTCCACTACATGTCTGACTGACACCTCCCCCCCCCCCCCCAGAGCAGGGGTGTCAAACGTACGGCCCACGGGCCGGATCAGGCCCGCGAACGGGTTTAATCTGGCCCTCGAGATGATTTTGTGAAGTACAGTATTGTAAAAAAAAAAAGATATATATATATATTTTTTTTATAAAAATCCTTCCTAGCATTACATGGATTGCATTGACTGGCACTGATTAATTTGTCGTACATTGAACTACTGGACAATTGTGTGTAACTGGAAGTCGTTTTGGAATGTAACGTAAAATGAGCTGCTATTTTTCAATGAAAGAAACTGCTGTTCTAAATGTGTCCACTAGATGTCGCAATAGCAATTATGTTAAGCAAGCAAACTTTATACCGGGGCTGAGCAGGGAGCAAGTATAAACAGGTAGTACGGCTTGCCCGGAGCTACCTTGTCGTTCTGCCTTATACTTTCAACATTATGCGCTTTGGCACTCTCATTGCCCCAAAATGTCAAAAAGACGAAAAGTGGACACAGAGTGCAGAGTTTTCCAAGAAAAATGGTCATCGTCCTTTTTATTCACGGAAGTAAATGGGAAACCTGTGTGTTTGGTGTGCTCACAGCATGTTTCAGTGCTGAAAGAATACAACCTTCGGCGCCACTATGAGACCCTTCATGCTGACAAATACCACCACTTGCAAGGACAACAGAGAATAAATAAAGTTAATGAACTGTTGACCTGTCTGAAGAAACAGCAGTCTGTGTTTAGTCACAGCAGAGAAATCAATGATGCTGCAGTGAAAGCCAGCTACCTTATTGCTTATGAAATTGCAACGACTTCAAAACCATTTTGTGATGGTGAATTTGTGAAGACATGCATGCTGAAGGCTGCAGAGCTCGTGTGCCCTGAAAAGCGTCAGGCTTTTGCAAATATCAGCCTGACAAGAAACACAATTGCAGACAGGATTTCTGATCTTTCGGCAGATTTGGACAGCCAATTGAAGCACAAAGTAAAATCATTTATTGCGTTTTCAGTTGCAATTGATGAAAGCACGGACATTACAGATGTTGCGCAACTGGCCATATTCATTCGCGGAGTTGATGACACTTTAGATTCTAAAAAGTATGTTGTAGAGAATGGAACACCACAGGGAAGTGTGATAAGTCCGATTTTATTTTCAATTATGATAAATGATATATTTGATAATATCCCAACAGATATAGGAAGGTCATTGTTTGTGGATGATGGAGCATTGTGGAAAAAAGGAAAGAATATACAATTTATTGTAAATAAAATTTAGAAAGGGATCATTTTAGTTGAGAAGTGGGGATTAAAGTGGGGAATGACATTTTCTGTGGAAAAAACAAAGATCATGTTCTTTTCTCGAAAGAAAATTGGGGAGAATATTGGTTTGACATTGTGTGGAAATAAGATAGAACGAGTTGACTCATTTAGTTTTTTAGGGGTATTTTTTAATGTCCGGTTGACATGGAAGGAACACATCAGGAATATTGTTGATAAATGCAAAAAAGTAATAAATGTAATGAGATGTCTTGTAGGAATGGATTGGGGAGCTGATGTTGCTGCCTTAAAATATATATATGTGGCGTTAATTAGAACTAGGATTGAGTATGGGAGTGTGGTATATGGATCTGCAGCAAAGACAACACTTGCAAAGTTAGAAATGATTCAGGCACAGGCTCTTAGGATATGTAGTGGGGCAGTGAAATCATCTCCAATATGTGCGCTTCAGGTAGAAGTAGGAGAGATGCCACTATGTTTAAGGAGGAAACAGCTATCAGCAAATTATTGGCTGAACTTGAGAGGACATGGAGAAAGTCACCCAACAAAAGCAGTGTTAAAGGATTGCTGGGAAAAAGAGAGAACAATAAAGTCCAGTTTTGGATGGATCGGGGATAGAGTGGCGAGAGATATGGGAGTGTATGACGAGGATATCAGTCCAGCTGTTTTATGGCCACCAGTTCCAATGTGGCTGCTTGAGACAGCTGAAGTAGACTTGGAGTTACTAAAGATAAAGGAAAGAAAAAGAAATGTTGATTTAGTTAGTGAATTCTATGAACACATAGAACAGAGATATGGAGATCATGTACAAGTATTCACAGATGGATCTAAAGACCCGATGACAAATGCAACAGGATCAGCTGCGTTTATCCCAAAAGGTTCAAGGTTGAAGTAGTGAAGAGAACGTCAGATTTCCTGAACGTGTACACAGTAGAGTTGTACGCCATTTTAGTTGCATTAGAATGTGTTGAGCAAATGAAAGGAAGGAAAGTGCTGATATGCAGTGATTCAGTCAGCGCTTTATACAGTATTCAATCAGGATCATCTCACAGTCGTCAAGATTTATTATATGAAATCATATTTACACATTCCCAGGTGGTTAAACAGGGGACAGATGTGATGTTCATGTGGGTTCCAGAACATTCAGGTATAGCAGGAAATGAAAAGGTGGACAGGTTGGCAAAGGAAGCTGTAAAGAAAGAGAGGATTGATATTAACATCAAATGATCTCAGTCAGAGGGGAAACAAGTCACATGGAGTAAAATCAAACAGGAATGGCAACAATATCGGAACAATCAGACAAAGGGAAGACATTTATATTCAATTCAGAGGGAAATAGATAAAGTAAAATACAGAGGGAGCAACAGAAGAGAGGAGGTCGTAATGTCCAGGTTAAGAATCAGTCACAGTCATTTAAATAGCTCTCTACATGTCACTGGAAAACATTCATCCAGTCTTTGTGAGATATGCAATCTAGCAGAAACAGTTGAACATAGCTATTAAATGTAGAAAGTATTTAACACATAGACAGAACATGATGTCAGAAATGGAGAGAGAGGGACTCGTAAGAAGAGATTTAAAAAGTATTTTGGAGTGTGGGGAGAGAGGGAGAGGACGAAGATGCTTGTTTAGGTTTATTGAGGAGGATTTAGAAAAGTGAGTAATAATTAAATCCAGCAGATGGCAGTAATGCAACCTTTTGGATGCCAGCTGCCAATAAAATCCAAAGAAGAAGAAGAAGAAGAAGAAGAACTGCTTCTGGGAGAGGTGAACGGGGTGAGGCTCCGTGCAGTTTTAAGGAAGTGTTTCCACAGACAGACTAAAAACTTTTCTTCTTCAGCTTAGAAACACATCAGCTACTCTCTCCAACACTCAAATATGGCTGTCAGTAAAGGTAAGTCATTTAATTTATAAAGTAGCATACACCTTGTATCTAAGTTAATGTTTATAGAGGGACCATTACATGATTCATAATGCACAAATATTAAACCGTTCTAAAGGGGCTACAATGGAAAAACATATTTCTTAAATCCTCAGAATTTCTAACAGGCTGGGGGATGAAATCCAAAACTCAGTTTGTGTTTGTCTTTAACACAGTCAATCCTCTCTGATATGAATTTAATGGGAAAATGACTGGAAACATCTGCAGTATGATTCAACAGCATGGAGCTTCTAAAACTAACCTGTGACGCTCTCTCAAATAATTTTAACCAGAACTTATCATCTTAAAAAAAAGAGGGATTTATTGTATTAGACTGGATTCGTAGTGTGTAGGTGTAACTTGTAACTAGGCGGTTTCCTAAATACCTTCCTAATTACTGCTTATTGGGAGAAAGAGAGGAAGTTGTCGAATTGTCTTTGTTGCAGCCAATGCTTGAGTGTGAATAAGAAGACAATATTAATTCCCACTGGTTCATTTATTAGCCGAGAGCAGGAGAGCACAGACGCTGAAAGTTAGGAAGTTGTGAACATGAATTATGATCTTGATATGCTTTGCTTAATATGCCCTGATAAGGTAGAAGTAAGAAAAGGTCATGCTTTGGTAGTAGGTTGAGATGTTTCTGAATCTTTCCCATGTTTCAGGGATGTTTTATTGTTGTGATTAAAAGACAGAATTTGAAAGAGTAGTGCCAGCATGAAGCAGCCTTACTCCTGGATGTGTAAGACACATGTTTATTGCAGTGTAGAGACACAGTTTCACAGTTTATCAGTCACAAAGTCAGAATTTTTTGAAAACGTTTCCACTTTTGGGCCGCTCCGGCATAAGTCGCTTTCTCAGTTGGGCCACCCCAGTCAAAGAAGTCTGGATCCGCCCCTGCACATCATGTTGCGTCGTATAATTTAGTTTGGTTGCATCGTACCATATCTTCATGTGTCGTACGATATAATTGTGTTTTGTAGGATATCATAGCATTCCCAAACTTTTTTCTGCTGGGACCTCGTGTCTACTGCGATCAGATACATTTTAATTTTGAATCTGAAATCCATTTGTTCAAAAAAACAAAACACAAATAACTGCATAATTGGATAAGATCAGGTATAGATAATCAAATGGACACATATAGTCCTTCATGTTGTTCCTTTATTTTCTCTCATCCAATCAGAACCAACCATGTACAATAATGAGGAGATCCGGATCGTGATGGTGGGGAAGACCGGAGCTGGGAAGAGCGCCACAGCGAACACCATCCTGGGAAAGGAAGAATTCAAATCAAGGTTCTCCTTTAAATCTGTGACTGAAGGCTGCGCTAAGGCGTATGGTGAGCTGGATGGACAGAAGGTTTCTGTCATCGACACTCCAGGTCTGTTTGACACCAATACTGACGCAGTGACGACACGTGCAAATATCGTCCGGTGTATGGCTTATGCTTCTCCTGGACCACATATCTTTCTGATTGTCATCAAACTGGAACGATTCACAGAAGAAATACAGAAGACGGTGGAGAAGATTCAGAAAATCTTTGGAGAGGAAGCAAACAAATACAGCATGGTTCTCTTTACCCATGGTGACCTGCTCAGAGGGCAACCTATCGAAGAGATCTTGAAGGAAAGCGAAGACCTGCAGGAGCTTGTGGCCAAATGTAACGACCAGTACCACGTCTTTGATAACAACCTCTCTGATAGTTCTCAGGTCACTGAGCTGCTCAACAAGATCAGAAAAATAACAGAAAAGAACACAGGAAACCATTACACCACTGAGATGTTTCAGAAGGTAGAGAGGGCGATTGAAGAGGAGAAACAGAGAATCCTGAAAGAGAAAGAAGAGGAAATGAGGAAAGAGAGGGAGGAACTGGAGAATTTATCTAAATTATTCAGATCAGTTGGCGAACAACTTGAGAAGGACCTTTTACTGAATGAGATGATTGAAAAAATAGCTAGAAGAGATGCAGAGAACAGCCCTGCATTGTTCAGATATTTAATGGAAATCCTTCAGATAGGGTTGGAATTTTATCGTGTTTATAAAGGTGTGAGAGATTGAACACAAAATAACAGCTCAATATTGCTGAAATGATTCTTCAACATCATTACAATTTAAGTGTCTAAAACTGATCTGACTCTGCAAAAATGAATGTTATCTTTCACACGAGACACATGTTTGGTGAATCCTTGCTGCGAGGACAAACTTGGTGACAAAATAAACATCTTCCTGTGACTATTTTACATTCCCCCTGAGGTCAGAGGCATTTCCCCTACTATATTAAAAGGGTATTCTTTTACACAAATAATCGTTCTTTCATCATGATCTCAAATACAGTATAGCATTTAAGTTTTAAGTCAGTTAACATGTTAATAATGTCTTAATACCTTTACATTATAAAAAAAATACACATATTGTGTCATGTGGCTTCTTGCTGTTGTTAATGTTGTAAACATTAAGAGAAAGATCCTTAAGCGTTGATTAAATATTGTAAGTAACCCGGTTAAGGTTAGTTAAGAAATTAAGAGGTTTTCTCAAGTAAATGTTGTTTGTTATTCTTTTACTGGAGGATGCTACAAATCTTGTTAATGTGTTAGAGCCAAAGTGAATAACCAAAATGTGCTTTCTTTATCATTTCAATAAAATGTTGTAACTCAGTGTGTAGTTGTTGTTGTTTTTCCAAAGGGGATACGAGACTGAATCCAGTTTCATCAACAAAATAAAAGATTATTATTTCTGGACTCTTCTGTTTAACATCTACATTACTCCCACTAGCTCAAATTATAGAAAACAATTAAATAAGTTATCATAACTACGCAGACGACACACAGATCTATATTACAATGTCCTGGTTTGAATCCCCGTCTGACAGGAGCCTCTCTGTGTGGAGTCTGCATGTTCTCCCCGTGCATGTGTGGGTTCTCCCCGGGTACTACGGCTTCCTCCCACAGTCCAAAGACATGCTCGTTAGGTTAACTGGTAACTCTAAATTCCCCGTAAGTGTGAATGTGAGTGTGTCTGGTTGTCTGTCTCGATATGTCAGCTCTGTGATTGGCTGGGGAACAGTCCAGGGTGTAACCCCGCCTCTCACCCAATGACAGCTGGGATCGATTCCAGCCCCAGTGACCCCGAATGGGAAATGCAGTACTGATAATGGATGGATACCCATGTGAATTCCCACAATGACACATTTGAAAATGTATGTATTGATCATATTTTGTAATATTAATCTGAATCTAAATCTGAATCGGAGTAACTAGCAGACAAACTAAAGATTTTTGATAAATTCAGTGGAGTAAGAAGTATTTTTTTTTGCCTTTGAGATGAAGTTTAGTTAAAGTGACAGCAAATAGAGAAACACTAGGTTACTCCCTGAATAGAGAGAGAAGTCAGTAACTCAAAGAAACCATGAAAGAAGTGAAAAAATATATACATATACAGTGGAGGAAATAATTATTTGATCCCCTGCTGATTTTGTAAGTTTGACCAATTACAAAGAAGTGAGCGGTCTATCATTTTTATGGTACCTTTATTTTAACAAACAGAGACAGAATATTTTAAAAAAGGCCAGAAAAAAACATTGTATAAAGTTATAAATGAATTTGAATTTGATTGAAGGAAATAAGTATTTGATCCCCTACAAACCAACTCCTAAAGTACTCCTAATCACTGCTCATTATGGGTAAAAAAGACACGTCAACAGAATCAATCTTTTCCTTTCCAACCACTCCACCACCATGGGCAAGACCAAAGAACTGTCAAAGGACATCAGGGACAAGATTGTAGACCTGCACAAGGCTGGAATGGGTTACAAGAGCATCAGCAAGAAGCTTGTTGAGAAGGAGACAACTGTTGGTGCAATTATAAGAAAATGGAAGAAATTTAAAATAACCATCAATCGCCCTCTGTCTGGAGCTCCATGCAAGATCTCGCCTCGTAGGGCAAGGATGATCATGAGAAGGGTGAGGAATCAGCCCAGAACTACACGGGAGGAGCTTTGTAATGATCTCAAGACAGCTAGGACCACAGTCACCAAGAAAACCATTGGGAACACACTGTGCCGTAATGGATTGAAATCCTGCAGTGCCCGCAAGGTCCCCGTGCTCAGGAAGGCACATGTACTGGCCCGTCTGAAGTTTGCCAGTGAACACCTAAATGATTCAGAGAAGGCTTGGGAGAAGGTGGTGTGGTCAGATGAGACCAAATTCAACTCTTTGGCATAAACTGGAGTTGTTGTGTTTGGAGGGAGAGAAATGCTGAATACCAACCCAAGAACACCGTCAAGCATGGAGGAGGAAACATTATGCTTTGGGGCTGTCTCTCTGCTAAGGGTACAGGACAACTTCACGCATTGAGGGGCCGATGGATGGGGCCATGTACCGTCAGATCTTGGACAAGAACCTCCTTTCCTCAGCCAGAGCACTGAGGACGGGTCGTGGATGGGTCTTCCAGCATGACAACAACCCGAAACATACGGCCAAGGCAACAAAGCAGTGGCTCAAGAAGAAGCACATTAAGGTCATGGAGTGGCCTACCCAGTCTCCAGACCTTTATCCTTTAAAAAATTTGTGGAGGGAGCTGAAAGTTCGAGTTCCAAAGTGACAGCCTCGAAACCTTCAGAATTTGGAGAAGATCTGCAAAAGGAGAGGACCAAAATCCCTCCTGAGATGTGTACAAACCTGGTGACCAACTACAACAATCGTCTGACTTCTGTGCTTGCCAACAAGGGTCACTCTACCAAGTACTAAGTCATGTTCTGCATGGGGATCAAATACTTATTTCCTTCGATCAAATGCAAATTAATTTATATCTTTATGTAATTTTTTTTTCTGGACTTTTTTTTTATATATTCTGTCTCTGTTTGTTAAAATAAAGGTACCATAAAAATTATAGACCTCTCACTTCTTTGAAATCTGGCAAACTTACAAAATCAGCAGGGGATCAAATAATTATTTCCTCCACTGTATATATATAATATTATTGAAAAGAGCGAAACATAACTCAGTCTGAACATTGGTTTATGACACAGTTAGGTCAGGGCTATAAAGGCAGTTTTATTTCACTTGGACTTTGTCCATTTCAGAAAAAGTAGCAATTTTGTTGCTGCTGGAAGAGGTGAACAGGGTGAGGCTCCGTGCAGTTTTAAGGAAGTGTTTCCACAGACAGACTAAAAACTTTTCTTCTTCAGCTTAGAAACACATCAGCTACTCTCTCCAACACTCAAATATGGCTGTCAGTAAAGGTAAGTCATTCAATTTATAAAGTAGCATACACCTTGTATCTAAGTTAATGTTTATAGAGGGACCATTACATGATTCATAATGCACAAATATTAAACCGTTCTAAAGGGGCTACAATGGAAAAACATATTTCTTAAATCCTCAGAATTTCTAACAGGCTGGGGGATGAAATCCAAAACTCAGTTTGAGTTTGTCTTTAACGCAGCCAATTCTCTCTGATATGAATTTAATGGGAACATTAATGGAAACATCTGCAGTATGATTCAACAGCATGGAGCGTCTAAAACTAACCTGTGACGCTCTCTCAAAGAATTTTAAGCAGAACTTATCATCTTAAAAAAAAATAGAGATTTATTGTATTAGACTGGATTCGTAGTATGGTGTAGTTTGTAAAGTTAAAAAAACATTCACAGATTTATAAATATTAGAAATACTTTTATGATAGTAGTTAAAGGCAGGGTTGGTCATTTTCTCCAGATACACTTTTTAAGATTTTGGTGTAAATTGTCTTTAGGTCCTGACAGACATTAATAACTCAGGTTCTCTGAAAAAGGAACAGAGAGAAAATCTGTCATCTGTAGCAGTTGTTAGCCTGTAAAAACTTTCAATCAATCACTCAATCTTTATTTGTATAGCGCCAATTCATAACAAGTGTTATCTCAAGACGCTTTACAAAAAGCAGCTAAAAGACCTTACCTATGACTATAATACAAAGACCCAGCTTAATCCATCATGAGCACTTTAGCAAAGCAGCAAATTTTGACCAATGTCTGCCACGAGGTACCAATCTGATGAACCAATCACGCCTCCCTGTCTCCCTGCTCGTTCTCGACCCCATGACTGCACGAGCCCACACTCAAAGCATGAGCTGAGGTCCGCTTCTGGAGCAACGGTGCTTGTGCATGTAAGTGAGGGGGCGTGGCTTTAGAGGGAGCACAGAGGGGAGGGGTGCAGACGGCGCACTGAGGGAATGCTACTTTCAAAATTATGCTAGTTTTAGAAAATGACCAACCCTGCCTTTAAAGTAGACATTATTAGTGGAAATAGAAAAGGGGGAAAGGATATTCATTAGTGTGTGCCCATGCACTAGAGGTTGGGAAAAAAAATGATTTATGTAAAAATCCAATTTTTAGTTTCTGAGATTTTAAATAGATTCATAACTTCCAAAAATCAATTATTATTTTTTTCCAATCAGTCACTCCCTGCTAAGTGCTAATGCTAGCTCTTTAACTCTGTAGAATGCCAAATGGAGCAGCAAGAAATTCAGCCAGTCTCACAGATGACTGGAGTAGATCCTGAAGTATATGTACTAATTCAAAAATAGACTTTGAATCATGAATCCAGAATCATTTTGAATAGAAAATAGATTCTCAATCAAATCGTGACACACTCGAAGATCCCTCACATGGGCCACCCCGGTCAAAGAAGTCTGGACCCCCCACTGCACATGTTGCGTCATATCATTTAGTTTGGTTGTATCTTAATGTATTGTGCCATCAGTAATGTATTTGTGACCATGAGCTTTTAGCTTGTGAGTACCATGAGCGCCCTCTGCTGGGGCCCCTGCAGACATGCGTGATGAGCCCCGTGCCCTGTTGCCAGGTTACACTCTCCGTGGTGAGTTGACTTATTAAGAGCTCCGCTAAAAAACGATGAAATAAGTCAGTTTTTCTGAGTAAAAGTAAGTTTTACTAATGTGCCATGTTTCAGAGATCCTCTTAAAATATTTATCAAAGACTTTTGTGGTGATATTGATTTGTTTTAGTTGAGTTATTTCAACTCTCCATGTTTTTATGCTTTTCTAGCTGAGTTTCAGCTTCATCATTTGTTGTCGTGGTGTAGCTGACTTCACCAACAGTTAGCTTGATTTTCTGCTCTCTGTTTAAGTAAATACTGAAGCTTACTACCAAAGAAGTGGCTGTGACAGAGACCTACATTTTATATACACGTTAAATGTTTGTCCTGTCTGCATTATCCTGTCCCTGTGTGAATGTTAGAGCTGTTAACCA